CACCCAGTTTTTATAGAAGTGTCATAAGGTTCCTAGAAACCCCAAACCAAACCCACTGCCACTGAATTGAGGCCGGCTCTTAGAAACCCCCTACAGCAGTGGTGCTCAACCTTTCTCATGCCTCGACCCTTTACCTCAGTTCCTCGTGGTGTGGTGACCCCCCCAACCATACAATTCTTTTTGTTGTTACTTTGTAACTGTAATTTTGCTACTGTTAGGAATCAGGCGACCCCTGTGAAAGTCATTCGACCCCCAAAAGGGGTCACGACCCACAGGTTGAGAACTGCTGCGCTCCTGGGTTTTCAAGGGCATAAATGTTGTGGGGGCAGGTAGCCTTATCTTTCTCCGGAGGTGCTGCTGATGGGTTTGAACTCTTGACAGCGCCAGCAAAGGTTTGTGCTCCACTGCTAATCTCTGGTTGGCGGTCGGAACCTACCAAGCAGTGCCTCCAAGAAAGGGTCAGACACTCAGCTTGCTTTCTTAAGAGCTCAGCCAAGAGGCCCCCACCTCCCACCCCCCGCTCCCCAGAACAGACACAGCGGTGGGGTGTCCTCCAGTCGGCAGCACGTTGATCCATCTCAGTCATGTCACTGCTGTGGCGACAGCCCATGCCGACTCACAGCGAGCTGCCGGACAGGGCGGAACTGCCTCCGTGGGTTTCCAAGGTTTCCGAGACTAACTCTTGGCAGCAGTGGAAGGTCTCCTCTTTCTCTCTTGGAGCCACTAGTGCTTCTGAACTCCTGACCTTGCGGTTAGCAGCCCAGCTTGTAACCACTATGCCACCAGGCTCCTGTTCTGTCTATAAACTCCAAATCCAAGCTCATTGCCATCGAGCCAATGGCAACTCACAGCGAGCCTATAGGACAGGGGGCCACTGTCCCTGGGAGTTTCCGAGACGTCACTAGCTTGTGTCTCGTGGAGCAGCTGGTGGTTTTAAACTGCTGCCCTGCTGCCCAGCACAGAACCACTGTGTCGCCGGATCTGTGTGTGTATACCTTTAAATCTTGCCCTCTCATTGTTGTGCCGTAAGAACATTCTCAACACGGGAAAGGGTGGCTTTTAATCCGTTCCTGTCCATCTAGTGTCGGGATGAGAAGTCTGCCCTCTGGAGCCTGACTGACGGTGTTCAAATCCCACGCTGAGTGCTCAGCGGTGGGCACGTTACCCAGCCCTCTGTGCCTCCGTTCCTCGGCAGGCTGATAAGAACATTAAGGGAGCCATTTCTCTGTCAGTAAACACCGGGCATTACCCATCTGACACGATGCCGCTGTGAAAGAGCCGTCCTCCCGTTGTTGACATTTTTGGCGGTGGCAGGTTTTCCCCATTGTGAAAAACTACTGAAAGAAGCAGCGCAGAAAGCCTTTTCTTTCGGGGATTAGTTCGCAGGGCTCGATGGCCAAGAAAGGGATCACTCACCAGGAGGTCTGCGAATGGTTAGTGCTCCTGACACACGCATGCCAGCCCGCTTTCCAGTTCACACTCCCGCATGGTGCTGTCAGGCTAAGTGCTTGATTAGTTACCTGCCAGGTCTGTAGTTCAAACCCACCAGCTGCTCCTTGGGAGAAAAATGAGGCGCTCTGGTCCTGGAAAGGTGTACAGGCTTGGACGCCCTACACGGGCTCCCTGTGAGTGTGAGTCAACTTGACAGCAATTGTCAACTTGATACCAGAAATGCCCGGGAGTGCCCTCCTGCCCTGACATTCGCCCGACTCTTCCCTTTCTCTTGTTTCTTTGCGCTCTCCTAACAGGGGATGCTCATTTCATTTTCACTGCGAGGGAAGCTGTGTTTCCTAACCACTAACATGCTTTGGGGTTTGCTGCTGCTGCTGCTGCTGTTCGGCGTCATCGAGAGGCTTTGTGTCCAACAGAACAGAATACCACCGGGTCCTGCGCCATCCTCACTACCATTCTTATGTTTGGGCCAATGATTGCAGCCACTGTGCCAGTCCATCGCACTGAGGGCCGGCCTCTTCTCCGCTGCCCCTCCCCTTTACCAAGCACAATGTTCTTCTCCGGGGGCTGGTCTCCCCTGACCACGTGTCCAGAGTCTGTGAGACCCAGTCTCCTCATCCTTAGCTCTAACAGCATGCTGGCTGTACTTCTTCCAAGACGAATCTGTGTGTTCTTTTGGCAGTCCATGGCGTTTTGAAAATTCTTCACCGACACCGTAGTTCAGTGCATCAACGTTTCTTCAGTCTTCCTTAATCGCTGTCCAATTTTCATAGGCATATAAAGCTATTGACAATACCCTGGCTTGGATCAGGCCCACCTTAGTCCTCAAAGGAGCAGCCTCGCTTTTCAACACTTAAAAAAGGTCTCATGCAGCAGATTATCCAGTGCAACGTGCTGTTTGATCTCTGGACTGCTGCTTCCGTGAGCATTGATGGTGGAGCCAAACGGGACGAAATCCTTGACGACTTCACTCACGTCTCCCCGATCATCCCGTTACCCATTGGTCCTGTGAGGATTTGGGTTCTCTCTACATGGACTTGTAATCCCCACTGACGGCTGCAATCCTTGATCTTCATCAGCAAGCGCTTCAAGTCCTCCTCACGTCCAGCAAGTGAGGTGTGTCATCTGCATATCTCAGGTTGTTAATAAGCCTTCCTCCAATCCCGATGCTGCATTTTCTGCCCATAACCCAGCTTTTCTGATGATTTGCTCAGCATACAGATTGAGTAAGTGTGATGAGAGGATCTTAAGCCATGCGGCGTCCCCTTGTTCCGTTTCACACAACCACCTGCCTGCGGACTCACGTCCTGGTTCCACACGAGCACAAGGAAGTGTCCTGGAATTGCACTCTTCTCAGTGCTGCCCTTCGTTTGTTGTGATCCACACAGCCGAATGCTTTGGCCTAGTCAAGGAAACACAAGCAAGCGCCTTTCTGGTAAGCTCTGCTTTGAGCGCCATCTGACGCCAGCAATGCTATCCTTTGTTCCACGCCCTCTTCTGAACCCGGCCTGACCAGCTGGCAGCCCCCTGTCAGTGGACTGCTGCAACCATTGTGGGATGATTGTAAGCAAATTTTGCTTGCGTGTGATACTGCTCTCCTGTCACTTGAGCATTCTGTTGGGTCACCTTTCTTTGGAATGGGTACAAATAGAGAGCTCTTCCATCAGTTGGCCACGTAGCTGTCTTCTAAGTTTCTTGGCACTGAGGAAGGAATCAGGGCTTCCAGTGCTTCATGAGCTGGTTGAAACATAGCCATTGGTGTTCCATCCATTCCTGGAGCCTTGTTTTTGGCCAATACTTTCAGCGCAGCCTGGACTTCTACTTGCTAGTCTTTACGAACACGCGGTTCCTGCTCAGATCAATCAGGAAGACCGAGCTCAGATACAAGAAACGGAACAGTGTG